ATAAGTAGGTCTCAGGGAGAGATAGTTATCCGCTAGATGGGCATTATTAGTGTGTTGTGCGGTATAGAAATCAGATTAACCCTAACCCTACCTAACCCTAACCACAACTAATTGGTGCGGTGCCGGGACAGGGACCGGTACCGTTAGTCTTGTGCCCTAACCTAATCCTAACCCCTAACCCTAATACTAACCCTAACCATAAACCTAACCCTAATGCTAAGCCCTAATTCTAAAATAAAACAAAATTAGCTAAAAACAATAAAATAAAATAAGAGACAGAATTAGCCAATCAGAGGCCGTCCTTAGCGGGTGCACTATCTTTTTTCTTAGACGTCTCCCAAATCCCACCTCTCGGCTTAGTTCAATCGATTGGTGTAATCGAGTAATCGAGTAATCGAGGTGTGAGAAGTACCAGTCTATCTCTCCTTGTGCAAATTTAATCGAAGTCGACCGAGGTCTGAGACGAGGTGAGCCCGAACGGTCATGAGTTGTCACGTGAGAAAGTTAATGATGGCGGCGGCGCACATTAGGAAGTGTTATGTGTACTTCACTGTGTCGTATATTTGTATTATTACATGTTAATGACGTCTTTTTAGATAATACTGCGCATGTCAAACGAGGTAAGATTAATACTACACACCTGGTATATATTACTCAAACAGTGTTAAATTGTCATATTGTGAAACTGCGTGTTGAAAGTTTTGACATAAAAATAGCTTAATCCTGGTAGTGGTAGTGGTACTGACTACTGTCACTGTGACAGGGCCTGTGGTAGTACTAGTGCGAGCCTAGCAGCAGATACTGTGCAGCACACTAATCAACAAACATTAATACATGCACCAGGCACTATAACCCCTACTCCAACTCAAGGGTCAAAGGTCAAGATGTGTATAATGGAGGGGGAATATTTCCCCCTTAACTTAAAGCGATTATTGCAGAGATTTTCCAGTGTTTTCACCACTGACACCTACCGTTATCTGCTTGAGTAAGCAGCAATTGTCTAGAGTAATAATAAAAATGTCTTAGAACCTTTGTATTTAACAAAGGCTGTTGCTCTGCGACCCGGTACCGTGCGATTATTTTTCTCTTGAAAGTCGACGACTGGTTACTGACGGTACTGACGCCTTGATTCGGTTGAGCTTGTTTTCTTTGCGATATTACATAGCACATCCAAAATTTTAATTTCAATATGTCTGGCAGCCAGCGCAAACGGTAGAGCGCTTCCGCCCCAAGTATGAAATGGCTCCACAGGGATCGAATCCCAATCTGTTTTTCCTAATTATTCCTGTTTTCTGTATTTTTCTATCTTTTATTCTGTTTAACATCTTTTTTTTTCCAATTAACGACAAATATCATACATTATTTATTATCACATTTTAATAATCAACATATTAATTTTTACAACAATTAAAAATTAAATTTCATTAATTTAACTGAGTTCAGGGTTTAAGGGTTAGGTTAGGTTTCTATGGGTTTAGGGTTAGGGTTAGGCGTTAGGGTTTAGCGGTTATCCGTACCTCATATCGTATAAAATCGTTATATATATTCTTACGTCACAAAACGAACGGTAGTATTATTCGCCATAGATGGCGCTGGCCGCATCACTACCGCTGAGTTGACAGAGAAAAAAATTCGCGACGGTACCGTCGCAGGAGCAACAGCCTTACCCAAACTGCCAGTTTCGAACTACTGGTTTCGAACTAGTTTCAGAAACATCTCGTTTTCTGTCATCTTGAACTAGCGGAAGTGTGGATTAGCTTGTTTGGCGCCACCGTTTATCTGCCATAGACAAAGCATGGCTCTCTCAAATCTTGCACTTGTTTTCAATTAGATCACCGAACACAAATACAAGTTTACCAATTCTGCCATTAGGCATTGTCGCCGACACGAAAAATGCATTGCTGTTACGATGTGTTCATTATCCAATTTTCTATGCTATAACTGCATAAATCTTTAGTATTTTTAATGTTGGTGTAATCATTGCAGTGATATTTTCGCTGTCAGGTGAGACTATATTCAGCTATATTTAGTTTTTCTGAGCAAAAAATCTCGCAATAGTCATTTTAAGGTATAGGAGGAAATACGGAATTGCCGGCACAAATCTTAAACGGCTCGACCTTAGCTCTAGTACTATAGCCTGGTACAGTTGCCGCTGGGCTATTATATAGCATCAGCCATTACGAATGCTCGGGGACCAACTTAGTCACGCTAATTTGCAGCTATAAAAACGTCTTGTGGTAGGCAATTAATTGCCTCTTATCCGAAGTGAATATGTCTTTTAGTTTATAACCGCTACTAAAATTTAAGCCTCTAACTATCGTCTGCAATGGTATACTTGCGCTATTTCTTTGTGAACGAACATTCGATTTGCGACTTCAAACGACCTTTCTGGCGGCGCTGCAGCAGCGCCAGTCAGCGGAACCACGTGTTCGAAATTCACGTCGGCCCGTCGGCCCGCCGCGACAGTTTCGATGCCGGGCCTACAGCTTCTTTTGATACAACAGGCCGCATGATCCTACAGCTATTTGATCACCGAAAATTCGCAAACACTGAGAAACTGTTACCTGTAGAAATCTGTTCATGCATATTAAACTTCCAGGGGTATCTTATTTGAAAAACTAATCCGTGATAAAACGTGACATACATGTAAACAATGCGGTTCGCCCACTGCAATCAACTTTAGTTGGCATTCAAAACGTGCGTGGGTATGTTCGGACGCCACAGGTTAGCACAGGTTCCTGCATCCAGTAGCAGCGTTGGCATACCAAAAATCGATAAGAAGTGGGTGGAGCTTACTTTTGGCCAGTTGTAGTGAACCCTACATTTGTGTTGGCAGGGTTTATTTAGTGCACGGGTCGTGCGCAGCACGCTCACTGTTCACGTGCGCGCTAGGTTGTGGGAGTAATTTTTCACATCCCCGCCGCATTTCACGTTTGGATGTTAACAATAAAGTATCACTGGTCGTTATTAACAAACGATCAGTATTACTGTTTATTAAAATAATTATTAAGAAGATTTTAGATAATATTATCATGTTGAATTATAGAGTACGCGAAGTGATGACGTCACGGGTGGCCATGACAACGAGCCTGCTGGTTTCTACACAATCATATGCTCTGGTTACATTAACTACCGTTGTCGTGTTTTGTAGCCCGATTGTAACCATCATTCTGAAGAGTCATTATTGCAGTTTTTATAGATTTCCAAGGATGAAGTGAAACAATCACAAAAAAATAAAATAATTAACAACAAAAAAATTTAAAAAAAAAATTTTTTTTTTTTAAAATTCATTAAAATATTGTAAGATCGACTTGCTACCGATGCTTTACCGCTGTCTGCAGCGGCACACACTCGTGTTTTACGTACCGCACAACATTTTCACGCAGTAAACCTTATGGCAGCAGTGCTTGTGTAGAACCAGCCCGTGCGTTGTCTTGCAACGTGACGTCACACTTCGGTACTCTATTACAGTAAATAATATAATAATTGTCTCAAGTTTTAACACACATGTCATTAATTAAGTCACTGGTAGCTGCAAAGCACGGCGTATTACTTTCTAGTCATGCAAACAGCAGTACAGCCTCGTCGCCACCACTCAGGTCTTTAACCGTGTCATATTGTTTTTAACGTTTGGAAAAACTATATACATTTATACAGGGGTGTAGCCTAAATAAAAGCTTCCCTACGTAAGCAGCTTGTATGTCTACAAAATACATTTACTTCGGACACACTCACACAGACGGAATTCCCCAGTGCCCATCCAAAATTTTACAGTAGGTAAATTTTACATTAATTTGGTTTTTTCCACCAAAAAAGTGTTGCTAGTTGTAAGGCTATTGGAGTACCTGAAATGGCTCTAGATTGCATCTCCAGAGCTTATAATTTTCAAAATGTTTCTGGCCCTCAGACTCATAGAAGTCCCCGATGTGTACCAGACTACCAGTCTGTCTCTCTGCTGTCAAAGTGGAAAGTCGTAGTTACCAAGGAGCTACATATAACAACGATGTGGCGTTTCCTTAATTGTGAGCCCCCGTCAACGAAGCGTAAACAGTCATCCGATGAGAGGAAGGAAAAACAGAGGGATTATGATTATGGACATTGATAATGACTAATAAACATAAGGAAGAACATGATATGCTGTTTTATTACTGTAATTTGCTCCAAAATTGGCGGGCCTACAGCTTTGCTGGCGGGCCTGCAGCTTTTAGAAGCTATAGGCCCTGCAGGCCTACAGCTTTTTTTGCTCAGTGGCAAACACTGGCGGGAACTATGTATTTCCGCACGTGGAGGGGTGGGCGGGTTGTGTTGGTTGTGGACAAAAACATTGTTGTTGTCAAGTAACAAATTAAGCGATCAAAAAAGATTGTAATATTAGTTTTGTCATGAAAGATGAACAAATTACTATTATTAATTTGTTACTTGACAACAACAATGTTTTTGTCCACAACCTGCTCACCCCTCCACGTGCGGAAATACATAGTTCCCGCTGACTGGCTGGAGTAAGTTGGTCCCGAGCATTCGTAATGGCTGATAGCTGGCTATAGCCCAGCGGCAACTGTACGCGGGATATAGTACAAGAGCTAGCTCGACCTATGCTCTTAATATTCGGTGTATAGTGTGATGGGCAGGAAACCCATCACCAGTGCGAAATTGGAGGTCACAGGTCAAAGGGCAGTGGGGGAAAGGTCAGATATCAGACATTTTCTGAGGACATGGCCTAATGGACAGAGTGAAAAACTTTTTTGTTTCAACACTGACCTACCATTTTTATCACTTTATTGAAAGGACCATGAAATGTTTTCTGTATTTTTCTATCTTTATCCATTTAACTATTTTTTTTCAAATTAATGCAAATATTTACATGATTTATTTACAACAATTTAATAACAACAAATAATTTTTACAACAATTAAATAATTTTTTTTTAATAGGGTTAGGGTTAGCGTCACAATGCACCATAAAACAGGAGTTTCAGGCACGCGATTTGTATCAACCAATGGGATTTGGGAGGTATGCAGAATGCAGAAGGTTGCTGAAATTATGTGTACGCAACTGCATATCTGCGCCTAACAAAGGTGTCACTACGCACGACTTAAATGTTACGTTTATAACCGTAGCAACAGACCTCAGATGAGCCCAGTCGATCTGCGGCTCTTGTTTTACATATATGCAGTTGTTCAACTCTCGTTCAACTGTGAAGTGTGATGTTGAGTTACAAGATTTTGCAGTGAATGGGTATATTGATCATGTGATGTTAGTCTGGCAGCCTAGTCAGGCTAGGTTTAAAACTGCTACATGTACTTATACTGTTACCAATACTTGTACTTATACTGTTACCTGTATTTGTACTTATACCCGTACTTATACTTGTTATGTTGTCTTATAGCTGCATATGGAGGTAAATCCAAATTGCACTGAGGACTTGTGCAGACTAGCAAATAATGACTCATCATATAACAACCTTGTGCATGTTAGAGCAGATGGGCAAGATGATAGCATCCACTATCTCTGGAGTTCAATAGGTATAATGTGGTTGAAGAATTATGGGGAGGATTAAATATGTCTACTTGTTTATGTACGAGCTTGGTGCCAGGAAATGATGGGCACTATATAACAACTACCGGTACTTATTTCGCTGGAAGGGACACGTTGAGATATGAAATTTCTGTAGTGAGATGAAGGAACAAAATAGTATCAGTTGAACCTTGCAGATTTTTTATATTATCACTACTCATAACTTGTAAATTTGAATGAACAACCTATCTACGCATAGGATAAGGATAGTGATCTTAATCTTGTTTTAAAGGTCATAACTAAAAAGGGAACAGAATGCTGAGTAAACAAATTTATATATTTCCACTTGTACAGCTTACTTTTAAATTAGCGGGTAAAAGCTAGGTAGCGGTGGTTGTTATATAGTACCCACCTCAGGAATCATCAGGCAACCCAATTCATTAGCTGTGCATTTTGAACATATATAAGCAGGGCATGAAATTAGCCAAAATGTGAACAGGCCTACCCAAAATTTTAAACAGGCCCTTAGACAAATTGAACAGGCCTTTACAAGTTTGAACAGGCCCTTAATTTTGTTCAATTTATTCCATTATTAATAAAAGTATTAGCTTTGTGTTTATTAGGCATACTTGTAGTATTTCAGTATTTCATTGATATCAGTGGAGTTCTACTTGTTTGACAGGAATTGCTGGAACATGATTTACTTCTTAGTAGTCACTAAGTAAAAACTAGCCAGGAAATTGGTAAATATTCTTCATATAAAGGCAAGATAGGCAAACATTTTGAATAGGCCAATTGGACTGATTATATGGGGGGGGGGGGATGCCCGCACAGGTACGTGCACACGCACGCACACACGCACGCATACACGCACGTGTACGTGCACACGAACGTACGAACGTGTACGTGCACACGCACGCACGCACGTGTACGTGCACACGAACGTACGAACGTGTACGTGCACACGCACGCACGCACGCACGCACGTGTAAGTTCACACGCACGCACGCACACACGCACGCATGCACGCACGTGTACGTGCACACGCACGCACATGTCACTACATAAACAGCGCTTTCTATCAGAACATGTGGTCATTCATCTGTAAATGTCAAGCAGCACGCTTCGCTTCTGCCAACCACAACACATAACAAATACACGTGACCTGATCTATGACGTCACGTGAACCATCGCTGACCAATGGAATCGGAATCATCGGAAACCAGATCAATGACCTGTGGAATCGGAATAAGTAGGTCTCAGGGGAGAGATAGTTATCCGCTAGATGGCGCATTATTAGTGTGTTGTGGGTATAGAAATCAGTTAACCCTAACCCTAACCCTAACCACAGACTAATGGTGCGGTGCCGGACAGACGGTCCGTTAGTCTGTGCCCTAACCCTAATCCTAACCCTAACCCTAATACTAACCCTAACCATAACCCTAACCCTAATCCTAACCCTAATTCTAAAATAAAACAAAATTAGCTAAAAACAATAAAAATAAATAAGAGACAAAATTAGCCAATCAGAGCCGTCCCTTAGCGGGTCACTATCTTTTTTTTAGACGTCTCCCAATCCCACCTCTCGGCTTAGTTAATCGATGGGTGTAATCGAGTAATCGAGTAATCGAGGTGTGAGAGAGTACCAGTCTATCTCTCCCTTGTGCAAAATTTAATCGAAGTCGACCGAGGTCTGAGACCGAGGTGAGCCGAACGGTCATGAGTTGTCACGTGAGAAAGTTAATGATGGCGGCGCACATTAGGAAGTGTTATGTGTACTTCACTGTGTGTATATTTGTATTATTACATGTTAATGACGTCTTGTTAGATAATACTGCGCATGTCAAACGCAAGGTAAGATAATACTACAACCTGGTATAATTACTCAACAGTGTTAAATTGGGTCATTTGTGAAACTGCGGTTGAGAAAGTTTTGACATAAAAATAGCTAATCCTGGCACTGGCAGCAAGATCAAGCCTGCACGTACAGCACACACGCGCGCCATTGACTATATATATACAACGTATATATATACGACGTTGTATATATATAGTCAATGGCGCGCGTGTGTGCTGTACGTGCGGGCTTGATCTTGCTGCCAGTGAATCCTGGTAGTGGTAGTGGTACTGACTACTGTCACTGTGGCAGGGCCTGTGGTAGTACTAGTGCGGCCTAGCAGCAGATACTGTGCAGCACACTAATCAACAAACATTAATACATGCACCAGGCACTATAACCCCCTACTCCAACTCAAGGGTCAAAGGTCAAGATGTGTAAATGGAGGGGGAATATTTCCCCCTTAACTTAAAGCGATTATTGCGAGAATTTTCCAGTGTTTTCACCACTTGACACCTACCGTTATTGCTTGAGTAACAGCAATTGTCTAGAGTAATAATAAAATGTCTTAGAACCTTTGTATTTACCAAAACCTGCCAGTTTCGAACTACTGGTTTCGAACTAGTTTCAGAAACATTCGTTTTCTGTCATCTTGAACTAGGCGGAAGTGTGGATTAGCTTGTGGCGCCAACCGCTTATCTGCATAGACGAAAGCATGGCTCTATCAAATCATGCACTTGTTTTCAATTAATCACCGACACACAATACAAGTTTACCAATTCTGCCATTAGGCCATTGTCGCGACACGATAAATGATGGCTTGCTGTTACGATGTGTTCATATCCAATTTTCTATGCTATAACTGCATAAAATCTTAGTATTTTTAATGTTGGTGTAATCATGCAGTGATATTTTCGCTGTCAGGTGAGACTATATTCAGCTATATTTAGTTTTTCTGAGCAAAAATCTCGCAATAGTCATTTTAAGGTATAGGAGGAAATACGGAATTGCGGCACAAATCTTAACGGCTCGACCTTAGCTCTAGTACTATAGCCTGCGTACAGTTGCCGCTGGGCTATTATATAGCATCAGCCATTACGAATGCTCGGGACCAACTTAGTCACGCTAATTTGCAGCTATAAAACGTCTGTGGTAGGCAATTAATGCCTCTTATCCGAAGTGAATATGTCTTTAGTTATAACCTCTACTAAAATTTAACCTCTAACTATCGCTTGCAATAGGTATACTTGCGCGGTATTCTTGTGAACGAACATTCGATTTGCGAACTTCAAACGACCATTTCTGGCGGCGCTGCAGCAGCGCCAGTCAGCGGGAACCAGTGTTCGAAATTCACGTCGGCCCGTGCGGCCCGCGCCGCGACAGTTTCGATGCCGGGCCTACAGCTTCTTGATACAACAGGCCCCAGTGATCCTACAGCTATTTGATCACAACGAAATTCGATAACACTGAGAAACTGTTACCTGTAGAAATCTGTTCATGCATATTAATTCCAGGGGTATTTATTTGAAAACTAATCCGTGATAAACCGTGACATACATTGTAAACAATGCGTTCGCGCCACTGCAATCAAACTTTAGTTGGCATTCAAGAAACGTGCGTGGGATTTCGGACGCACAGGTTAGCACAGGTTCCTGCATCCAGTAGCAGCGTTGGCATACCAAAAATCGATAAGAAGTGGGTGGAGCTTACTTTTGGCCAGTTGTAGTGAACCCCTACATTGTGTTGTTGCCAGGGTTTATTTACGTGCCGGGTCGTGCGCAGCACGCTCACTGTTCACGTGCGCTAGGTTGTGGAGTAATTTTCACATCCCCTCGCGCATTTCACGTTTGGATGTAAACAATAAAGTATCACTGGTCGTTATTACAAACGATCAGTATACTGTTTTATAAATAATATTAAGAAGATTTAGATAATATATCATGTTGAATTATAGAGTACCGAATGTGATGACGTCACGGTGGCCATGACAACGAGCCTGCTGGTTCTACACAATCATATGCTCTGGTAACATTAACTACGTGTCGTGTTTTGTACCCGATTGTAACCATCATTCTGAAGAGTCATTATTGCAGTTTTTATAGATTTCTAAGAGAGTGAGGAAGTGAACAATGGAAGTGAAAATCAACAAAAAAAATAAAATCAATTAACAAGCAAAAAAATTTAAAAAAAATTTTTTTTTTTTTAAAATTCATTAAAATATTGTAAGATCGACTTGCTACCGATGCTTTACCGCTGTCTGCAGCGCACACACTCGTGTTTTACGTACGCACAACATTTTCACGCAGTAAAACCTTATGGAGCCAGTGGCTTGTGTAGAACCAGCCCGTGCGTTGTCTTGCGACGTGACGCTCACACTTCGGTACGTCTATACAGTAAATAATAATAATTGTCTCAAGTTTTAACACACATGTCATAATTAAGGTCACTGTAGCTGCAAAGCACGGCGTATTACTTTCTAGTCATGCAAACAGCAGTACAGCCTCGTCGCACCACTCAGGTTTAAGCCGTGTCATATTGTTTTTAACGTTTGGAAAAACTATATACATTTATACAGGGTGTAGCTAAAATAAAAGCTTCCCTACGTAAGAGCTGTGTATGTCTACAAAATACATTTACTTCGGACACACTCAACACAGACGGAATTCCCCAGTGCCCATCAAAATTTTACAGTAGGGTAAATTTTACATAATTTTTGGTTTTTTCCACCAAAAAGTGTTGCTAGGTTTTAGTAAGCTATTGGAGTACCCTGAAATGGCTCTAGATTGGATCTCAGAGCTTATAATTTTCAAAAATGTTTCTGGCCCTCAGACTCCCATAGAAGTCCCCGATGTGTACCAGACTACCAGTCTGTCTGCTCTGCTGTCAAAGTGGAAAGTCTAGTTACCAAGGAGCTACATATAACAACGAGTGTGGGCGTTTCCTTAATTGTGAGCCCCCGTCAACGAAGGCGTAACAGTCATCCGATGAGAGGAAGGAAAAACAGAGGGATTATGATTATGGACATTGATAATGACTAATAAACATAAGAAGAACATGATATGCTGTTTTATTACTGTAATTTGCTCCAAAATTGGCGGGCATACCGCTTTGCTGCGGCGGGCCTTGCAGCTGTTTAGAAGCTATAGGCCACTCAGGCCTACAGCTTTTTATTGCTCAGTGGCCAAACACTTGGCGGGAACTATGTATTTCCGCACGTTGGAGGGGTGGTGCGGTCGTTGTGTTGGTTTGTGGACAAAAACATTGTTGTTGTTCAAGTTACAAATTAAGGCGATCACAAAAGATTGTAATATTAGTTTTGTCATGAAGATCAACAAATTTACCTATTATTAATTTTGTTACTTGAACAACAAACATGTTTATTGTCCACAACCTGCTCACCCCTCCACGTGCGGAAATACATAGTTCCGCTGTGACTGGCTGGAGTAAGTTGCGTCCCGAGCATTCTAATGGCATGATAGCTGGCGTATAGCCAGCGGCGAACCTGTACGCGGGATATAGTACAAGAGGCTAGCTGCGACCTAATGCTCTTAAATTCGAGTGTATAGTGTGGATTGGCGCAGGAAACGCCATGCACTTAAGTGCGAAATTGGAGGTCACAGGATCAAAGGGCAGTGGGGGAAAGGTCAGATATCAAGACATTTTTCTGAGGACTATGGGCTAATGGACAGAGTTGAAAAACTTTTTGTTTCAACACTGACCTACGCAATTTTTAATCATTTATTGAAAGGACCATGAAATGTTTTCTTGTATTTTCTATGCTATTATCCATGTTAACTTATTTTTTTTCAACCATTAATGCAAATATTTACATGATTTATTTACAACAATTTAATAAAGCAACCAAATAATTTTTAGCAAACAATTAAAATAATTTTTTAATAGGTTCAGGGTTAGCGTCACAATTGCAGCCCATAAAAAAACAGGAGTTTTCGAGGCCACGGCGATTTGTCTCAAACCAATGGGATTTGGGAGGTATTGCAGATGCAGAAAGGTTGCTGAAATTATTGGTGTACGCAACTGCATGATCTGCGCTAACAAAGGTGTCACTACGCACGAACTTAAAGTGTTACGTTATAACACGTAGGCAACAGACCTACAGATGAGGCCCAGTCGATCTGCGCGCTCTTGTTTTAGCATATATGCAGTTGTTGTTCAACTTCTCGTTCACTGTTAGAAGTGTGATGCTTTGAGTTTACAAGATTTGTTGCAGTGAATGGGTATATTGATCATGTGATGTTAGTCTGGCCAGCCTAGTCAGGCTAGGCTTAAAAGCTGCTACAATGATACTATATACTGTTACAATACTTGTAGCTTATACTGTTACTGTATTTGTACTTTACCCGTACTTATACTTGGTTATGTTGTCTTTATAGGCTGCAACTATGGAGGTAAATCCAAATTGCACTGCAAGACATTGTGCAGACTTAGAGAAATAATGACTCATCATATTAACAACTTGTGCATGTTAGACAGATGGGCAGATGATAGCATCCAACTATCTCTGGAGTTCAATAGGTATAATGTGGTTGAAGAATTATGGGGGGATTAAATATGTCTACTTGTTTATGTACGAGCTTGGTGCCAGGAAATGATGGGCGCACTATATAACAACTACGGTACTTATTTCGCTGGAAGGGACACGTTGAGATATGAAATTTCTACGTAGTGAGATGAAGGAACAAACATAGTATCAGTTGAACCTTGCAGAATTTTTTATATTATCACTACTCATAACTTGTAATATTTGACATGAACAACCTATCTACGCATAGGATAAGGATAGTGATCTTAATCTTGTTTATAAGGTCATAACTGAAAAAGGGAACAGAATGCTGAGTAAACAAATTTATATATTTCCCACTTGTACAGCTTACTTTTAAATTAGCGGGTAAAAGCTACGGTAGCGGTGGTTGTTATATGTACCCACCTCAGGAATCATCAGGCAACCCAATTCATTAGCTGTGCATTTTGAACATATATAAGCAGGGCATGAAATTTAGCCAAAATGTGAACAGGCCTACCCAAAATTTTAAACAGGCCCTTAGACAATTGAACAGGCCTTTACAAGTTTGAACAGGCCCTTATTTTGTTTGCAATTTATTTCCATTATTAATAAAGAGTATTAGCTTTTGTGTTTATTAGGCATACTTGTAGTATTTCAGTATTTCATTGATTCAGTGAGTTCTACTTGTTTGACAGGAATTGCTGGAACATGATTTACTCTTCTAGTAGTCACTAAGTAAAAACTAGCCAGGAAATTGGTATAATATTCTTCATATAAGGCAAGATAGGCAAACATTTTGAATAGGCCAATTGGACTGATTATATGGGGGGGGGGTGAACAAGCGGTTTAGGGGGTTGAACCAGCGGCCACCGGCAAAATAGCGCCAATTTCGCGCTGTGTTAGCATTTACTATAACTTGCGTATTGTCTGGTTGCTGACAAAATCTATGTGTGGTTACCGTTACATGCCGGAAAAAAATAGGGTAGGTAAGTAGGGAAAACATTTTATTTTCTTGAAATATTTTATTTACGAACCATGTCCGAAGGATGTGCGTTGTGCCTTTTGAAGCAGAAACTGGCCAATTCATATTTTATTTTATTTTTGACTTTAAAGAAAATTGACAATAAAATGTTTAAGGTCGCTAATAAATAGGGTCGGTCGGGAAACCGTAACCACACCTATATTTTGTTTTGGCCTTACTGCAAAATATTTTAATTGCCACTTAGAATTTACTAGCCGTCACTGTTTTCAATGTCATAAAATCCTTCATGGAACTGATTCAAGGCGTATCTTAAATCATAATATTTTATACAAGGTAACTATAACCTCAAAAATACAATTTTCGTGGAGTTGGGGTAGCTTTAAGATATGATAATGTCATAATTCATAAAAGACGTTCAGACTGGCAGCTAATTATGATGATGATTTTGTTGTTGTTGTTGTTGTTTTACTAGTTTTCAAAAACTTCAGTTTTGTTATGATTTTGCTATTACAGGTGCACCAACATTTCTAGTTGTTAGGACTGAATTGAGTTCACAGCTACAAATAGACTGGACAGCGTTACTTTCAAATGAATCGGCTAATTCTATAACATTTTCTTCTCCTCCTTTGTTTGCGTTTGCTGTAACGTTTACATATGTAAGTATAATATACTAGCATGAGATATGATAAAAATAGTAAATCAGAATTAATATCTTTATATCATACAACTGTAATTTTTGATACAATTGTTTTTATATATACAGATGTTGGTGACATATATTTACAATGGTTAGCTAAACAAAAAAGGTATAAACAGTAAATTATGTTTAATGTAATGTAACACTGAGTTTTGCAATAAATATTGTTCTATTTTATAGTTGTGGGAGTATAATGATCCCAAGGACACTGGAAACATACATACAGCTCGGAGCAACATTTCGTACTACCGGCTAGAATCATTAAGTTGGAATGATTTCAATTTCAATGCAGATTACAACAAATCAATGGGTAGTTTCTCATTGCTCAACCACCTAGGTGCAAATAACGGATCATTACAGTTTCTGGTGAGTGAACTACTTATAAATGTCAAAGAATAGATGACAAAACGTTTATATGTTCTCCTTTATGCACATTAATTCTGGATTTTATGGTAAAGGCAGACCTGCCAACCCTTACGATTTTTCCATATTCCTTACGAATTTCATTATGTTTCTACGAATGTACGATCAAACTGAAAAACTTACGATTGTTTACAACTTGTGAAAATTAATGTTTTTTACATTGTGAGCCGAGAAATATCTGGCGATTGTGGGTGCAGCCATATTGGATCACGCGTTCACGTTGTTCTCGCGTGATCTAGAGTTAGTCCCAGCATTCATTGCGCGCATAACATACAAAGAAAATGGCTTCCTGCTGCAATAAAAGAAAAGCCTTACTATTTTCATGAATCACAGGTTGGCAGGCCTGTAAAGGCTGTCCAGTGTTAGTTAGGGATTTATCAACACCATACTCCAAATCAATACAACAACAACAACAACAATTTCAAACATTCTTCCTGACCATTCTCATATTTTTGATGACCATTACAGGGTGCGAAATTAACGCGAGTCCGGAGTCAAATACTCTCTGATTTACTGTCGACTCCCTGATTTGACATATGCAGGAGTCCGTGTGACTCCCTGAAAATTCTGCTATACTAACTAGTTCGTTCCAGAGCACGGCCTCGTGGAATTACCGTATTTTTTAGCAAAGAAAATTTGGCAGACGTGCAACCGCATAAACCTTCAAAATAAGCACATGCGTTATTGTTAATATCTTTAGTTTTGAACTTCAGACTGCGGACTCCCTCATTTTGCTGCAGACTCCCTTTTTTTGAGGGCAGGGAGTCCAACAGACTCCCTTGTTCAAAAGTTAATTTCTACCTGTGCCATTATAAAACTTTCTAGTATTACTTGCATAACAGCAAGTGTCTGCAGTAACTCTAGCATGTCTTAGAACACTCGTACATTATCACTTTCACCGAAATCTGCAACGACTGAAATTTGTTGAATTCTTGTTGGCGTGGCTACACGATGATGCCACCTGTTTCTCGTGAGAGCGTGTTCCTGGACTTTTTTAATTGTAACTTAGTTAATGTTAGTAAAGATGCTGTACCAGTCTATAATAAGTATATCACTCAATAATATGAACTTTTGTCTGGAGGTTGCCAATTTTAAGGGAATTGTGACAGAAAAGAATATGGCAGAGATGCCAACCACTACGATTTATCGTAGTATTTTATACGAATTTTTATTCTTTTTGCACCACTACGACCAGTTTGTATCAAACTACGAATTTCACTGTGATCGGAATTTTTTTTTTTTTGTCAATTTATTGTCATTTTTGACCCCCAGAATGCAGGAAATTGCATCTCAGAATCAAACATTTTTCCGGGGGCATGCCGGACTCTCCTAGCAAACTCGGGTCACTACGTGACCCTCGAACTACTAATTTGATGGCCAGAAACGACAGATTGCTTCAAATATGTGTTGGCATCTCTGATATGGCTGCATTAGTTGCTGTTTTATATACCATTACAGCACAGACTCATGTCATGATAATCTATATTTTGGAGAAGCCAGTAACATGTTTGCTATGATATGGGACTATATTTCAATATATTTTTCCCGATTGTGCATTTATTTAAGAGATAAATCCTTTAATTGTAAATGTGTTTAAAATATCTACTAAGAAATCCTATTGTTTATATCAGTGTAAAACCGAATATTGCTATAATGTATTTAACTGATGTAACATGAGTTTTGCACGTGTTACATGAATTAGTCAGCGAGGCTAGACTAGGGTTGTTGTTGTAGTAATAGTCTGGGTAGACGGAACGTCAGCGCATCTTGTTGTGGCTGCATTGATGTTACAGGGAATTGGATAAGCGGGTTTAGGTTAGGCAGTTTTGAGGTTCAATGTGGAATGGGGGTAGGAGGCGGTCTGGGAGAACGGGTACATGTGCGTGCAGGATGTTTGTAGGAGTTTTGGGGGGATATATATGACAGAGATGTAAGAGTCAGGAGATTCTGGTTCTGGTCGCGAGAGTACGCGCACGCGCGACCGCGCATGTGCGCGGGTCTTTGTCTGTGTGCAAGGAGATGTGATGTGTGTAAGATATTAAAGGTTATACAGTTTACCACACAAGTTTTGGATTTGGATCTAATTCATCATGTCTACATGAACTCTCATTTCAACGTTACACTGGACTAATAAAATGGCTAAATAATTGGTTATTTTTTTACATATTTCTAGCTGGAGGCATATGGTACTGACAGCAGGTCTGAAGCTTTGCCTCATCTTCTATACACAAGTGACAGTATGCAGTGTCAGTTGAAACTGGACAGGTAATATATATATATATATATATATATATCAGAAGTAGATAATAGAGAAGGAGTGTGACTTAAAATACACAAGGGAAATTCGTCATTTACTAGCCGTAGAATACCTACGATTTACTACGCGTAACTCAACCAACTTGAGCTCAAATCGTACACAGTACATTCGCCTAGCATCGTGCGAAATCGTTTCCTTGTATACACCCACAATCCGGAGATACAGACCTTGAAACAATAGGCAGCTACTAACGACTCTTGCGCACTCTTGTGCCCTTGGCGATGCGGTGTGCTCGCTGGGAGATTGGACATCGACGCAACACTTGGCGAGCTAATCTTTGACCTATTTACAGCTGGTATGCCCCCCACGCACGCACGCCCACCACAATCAGCAGCAGCTCCAGCTCCAATCTCCCAGCGAGCCACACCACATTGCCGAGGGCACAAGAGTGCACAAGAGTCGTTAGTAGCTGCCTATTGTTTCAAGTTAGGCGGGTTATGGATTCGTTTTGCTGGCAACAGAATGGAGAATCGTGTCGTACGTTTTAGTCTGTATCTCCGGATTGCGGGTGTATACGAGGAAACGATTTCCCACTATGGTAGGCGAATGTACTGTGTACGATTTGAGCTCAAGTTGGTTGAGTTACGCGTAGTAAATCGTAGGTATTCTAAGGCTAGTAAATGACGAATTTCCCTTGTTTATTGAAGTCACACTCCTTCCCTATTATCTACTTCTGATATATATATATATATAGTTATATACAGGGTTTGATTTTAAGGGCAACCAGCAGTAGTTTTGCGGCCCACAAGGGTAAGTTTGCTGCTTGCTTTCGATGTCTGCAGCAAATTCTTGCTGCCAAGAAATTCCTAATACTTCGGTTAAGCATAGGTGAATATAATTTGAATGAACGAATCTGGGAAATTCTTGTTTCTGTTGTGTTTGTTACAAAATCACGATATTGCTACAAGTTCATACTATTTAGTTATGATTGTTTATATTTTAGTTTTCCAACAAAGTACCGTGCAAGTCGGTTTGCACTGGAGATGTTGATGGTGAAAGTGAAAGAGCCAAATGAATACATGACACTGGAAGAGCATCAAAGTATAGATGACGAATACACACCGGGTATATTTAAGGTATCATCTATTAACTCTACTATTGAACATTGTTTGTCTTGTCACTATTTCTACATGTTTCATATCAATCAATCTTACAACAATCATTGTATGAAATCATGTTCATAAATCCACATATATTTATTGTTCAATTAAAAGACAATAATACGGTTGATTATGGACATTGAAATACTGTGTCTTGTTAAAACTTTGCTAATTATGCTCTCTTTTCAGGCAATTCACTATTCGAGTGGAGGGCAGAATAACAGTGGCTACATGTCTTGGAAGCCAGTGTGTTATGCCGGTCCTCATCACACGCTGGAGGAAGACCGGCTTGTTCAGACGTATAACCTGCAGCAGGGAGTGGTGCGGATTCCCATTAACAGCATAGCACATGCATACTTTGGCTCAGATTTGATGCTTGAAGCAACAACATTGAACATCTCATTCGGCATGCAGGGAGATGGCTTTTTTCACTCTACAAAGTATCTCGACTGGTATGAGCTTTAAATAGCTTGTTAGAGCTCACCGATCTTTTAGCCGCATATAAATGTTGGTTCTTTTCTTATTTGAGATGGCATGTGTATTTCTGTTTGCAGACATGTCAACCATTACAGTTTCAGCATAACATTTGTTTATTGGATCTCTGTAGGCTATTACACTGTGGCAATCACAAGTTATGCATTCTATATTCTTTTGATGGCTGCTCTAGAATCCAGCATGTAATTGAGCTGTGTATAACAGTGTATATGAATACAGTTATGTGTATTTGCTAATTAGTCTTGTATGAGTGATGTCCACAGTTCCACAGTTTATGTACAGACATGCACTACTGGTCGCTGTGTTCATGTTAGTATAGCTAAAGTGATCAATGCATTTTCCAAACAAGTGGGTCCATTTTTTCCACCCTGTCAAATGCACTTTGTGGATGGGCATGCATACTCAATGAGTCATAGGCTGCTTTGTTCTCAAGAGGGAAACATAGCTGAGTAAAAGTGCCAACGTCCCGGCCCTTGGAAAAACCTTAAATATCTTAGTTGTATAAATGGTGTGCTTAAGTACTATCACTTAGTGCAGAGCCAAATTCTTGGATGCACCAATTACTTTAAAACCCTTGAATGTGATTCATAGAATTCAGTCAAACATTAGAAGCTTGCTACTTCAATTCGTCCCGGCAGTAACACATTTTCATTAGCTAATGCCTTGTAAGATACTTAGAAGTTGCCATGTATCTGTGAGTGCAGGGCTAATGATGAACCTTCAAGCAGTTTGCATTGCCAGCCAATTTTTTTTCTTTTGCAGGAATGCTGTAATAGGCTATGGCCTTCCTCCACGTGACCAACTGTCGATGCTAGTCATTGCTGTGATAACGACTGGGGTCGGCCTGCCATCTGCACTCTTCCTTCTCGGTGGTATTTATGTTGGCTGTAAAAGAGTGACGAAAAAACAGACATATCCTGCAATCGACTGAACGCATTCACTTACGGATAGGCTGCAGGGATCTTCTAATCTATGTGTAAATAGCTTGTAATAAGTAAATTGGTTATGTCTAGCTCACACCAGTAAGTTTCATTACTAAGCTGGAATAAATCAGTTGCTAGCCGAAAGCACCTTGTCACCTTAAATGAATCTTTAGGAAAAAATGAAATTATTGCCGAAATTAAAAATTTGAGTGTCAACATAGTTTCACTTGTGTTCTCCTGCCAGTATTCTGACTTGTACTATAAACATATTTACAAAATATGTAAACACATTTATGTACATATGTCAGAAGTAAATGGTCTCAATGAGTTAAGTAAGTTTGTGATTTTTATACTTCTGATATGTATACGTACGTACGTATGCATACGTATACATAGGTATACGTATCAACAGTGAGTGAAAACAAATAGTTTTCATTCATTCCTGATATGTATGTATAATTATGTATGCACATGGCAAATGTGTCAGACATGCAATAATAATTATTGTTCATTATTAGTTAATAAAGAAGATGTACACATGATACATCAAGTTACAATAACGTGCAGAGTAAATAGATTTAAGAAGTGAAGGATCTGAATTTAGATTGAATTTCTATTGCAGAACGATTATTGGAACTGCTATTATTTCACTCAACAAGTATATAAATCAATATGGCTGTTTAGATATTGCTCAATGAGTATAGAGTGTGTTTGTAATCAATTTATATGAATTCCATTGCTGTGATTATTGTGTAATTTTGATCTAATTTCTGTGAATACTTAATTGTGTGTGAAATATGTATTTGTTTGCCTAAACATTTTTCAACATCAGTGTATTGTGTTATGTATATGCAAGGGTTAAAGTATGAGGACGTATAAAAAAAAAGATGCAAAAGTAAATTTGTATATTGGTAAAATAAATTATAGTAATACGTATTTTGATTTGAACCCTGAAAAATTGTCTTCTGCCTATCTGAATATATAAATTCTCTAATTAATGCTGTATACAAAATGCATCACAAATTAGGTGTGTTACTGTTTATAGCATGACGTTTATTTATTCGATTGATCTTATAGGTAAGTGCTGCAAATGTTTATAAAAAATAGAACCGGGTAAACAAAATTAATTAAAATTCATTTAATTTTATTAAATTCGATCCAAATAGAGTAAACAAATGAAAATTAATACTGAAAGAACGTCATCTAACAAAAATTCGTTAGTGATTAAACTATGTACATTCATTGATCATCAATAATTTGATGTACCACGTTATTTTATATTAGTTTTGTAAATGATTGAACTTTAGACGCTATGGCTCAATAGATGGCGCCCATAGACTAACCGGCAGGCGGCAAGGCGGTAGCAGCGGTAGTGTTGTAGTGTTGTCGCGGAATCGTTCATTGATGTGCACTGATTCGCAAACTCGACGCATTCCCTTACTCAACAGTACAACCAGAGACAGTCAAAACACAGTTTATCATGAATACGTACCTGTGAATTTTCCTCGTAATGTAAGTACCAGGTATCGTTTATTATACGTTATGGCTATTAGTATGTCTGACTAATACTATTAGTATTACTTAGTATTACCTCTAGGCTGTAAATTATAATTACTAAATTAGTAATACTAATAGTAATAGGGCCTAGTAGTAGGCATAATTTAGTTGCACCGGCATAAGATATAGAATGAAGTATAGTGCCATTAGTGGTTGCACCAATCATTTTTCTCCCACGTTCGAAGTTCAACGCATGAGAACCCGTAGCCTAGATACAATAATGTAACCCAAACACAGGATAGGGTTACCTATCCTGTGTTTGGGTTACATTATTGTATCTACCGTAGCCCGACCGGCTGTGTGACTAACGTCAATATTCACATAAAACACTTAATTTCATTGCCAGGACTGAGTAACGTCCTCGCGCATCTGGACGTACCATGCAGGTAGGTCAGCTGGCCGGCCCATAGGGTCTATGTCCCCCAGGGTACTGCCGGAACTGGCCTGCGGCAGTCAATGTACGCGGGCTATAGTACTAGAGCTATGCCGGAACGTACCCTGGTAACTATCTGATATGGTTAGGGTTAGGGTAAGGCAGACGTTCGAAGTGTCCCGGTCTCACCGGGATCCTCCCGGTATGACACGCTGCTCCCGGTGCCTCGGAATGAGTCCAGAAGCTCCCGGTCGTAACATTTTTCAGCCATATATGAAAATTTACATCAGTACATTTCCAGCGAACAATAAAAGGCCACAAATGTCAAGCATTCATGTGATGCAATGTGTAATATACTCATATAATAATAAATAAATGTGAACCCATAAATTAACATGAATTTGCATTTTATTTTACATGTATACTTTATAAAAAATGGTGGTGTGTCGCGACAAACACATATCGCAGCCCGCCACAACTTTTTTCCTGTTTTTGCGCACTGCGAAAAAACGGCGATGGACCGGCCATTATCACAAGTGCTCTTTTTCTTGGATTGCTGGCTCCCTTTCTTGGATTGCTGGCTCCCTTTCTTGGATTTTCCCAACTCTGGGGACCTCTGGTAAGGTTAGGGAGTAGGCGTAGGCTGACTCCCCTAGAACTCGTATTGAGTAGGCGAGGTACGTCTGCATGTCTAGATCCGTACCAGCAGAGCAATATAAATCAACGTATGATTTATATGCTCTGGTACCCCAGCTAAGGGTTACGGTTTTCCGTAATAGAGGCCGACCGTACGGCCATAGGTATCGTTCCGGCAGTAACCCTGGTGGACCATAGACCCTCCCTCAGCGGTAGTCAACGTGTTAAGCAAACCGTACCTAACACCACTTAACACCACCACGTTACGATTACGCCAAAGGGCGTTCCCTAAAAATGCTAGCATAGCAAATTAGATAAATAATAAAATAATATAATATTACTATAATATTAATGTATTTAATTGTCTTATAATTAAAAAATAATAAATTGATTTTTTACTAAATAATATATAAATAATAATTAAAAAAATATATAAGGAATATAAAAATAAATAACATATTACTAACTTAATGTTGCATTAGATAACTAAAAAAATAAAATATTATAGTAATTTAAAATATAATATATATATAAAATATACTAAATGTATAATTTATATAAAATAATTTAAACTTAATAAAGTAAGATAACTAATAGTATAATTGTAGTAATAGTTCTTCTCAGTAGATAATAAGTTTATAGGAATTATAGTTTTATAATAAAATACTTATAAATTACTGATATATCTCGTATAATAACTAAACTTGTAGATACTAAGTACTTCCATATATTATAAAATCAGTAAATAATATTAATTTACGTGTATCTTAACGATAAATAAACTAATAATATTATAAAATATAAATTAATCTAGTTTATATAACACTAATATATTAATAAAAAAAATAAAAAATAATATTTATCTTATTATAATATTTAACGTAATCTATATTACTATAAGTAAATAATCAATTTATATTAAAAATAATTGAGATAAGTAAGGTATAATATCTTAGTAATTCTAATTAAGTTATTTTTATTTTAAGTATTAAAATACTTACTATTTAAATTAGTAATAATTAATAATCATATAAAAAATAAATAATTGAATACATATAGAGTGATATAGAATAATACTTATTCGTAAAACTTAATATTGTTATAACGTTTTATCGATACTTATAAATATCTAAAATAATTCTCTTAAATTTTATCGTAAATAAAATTATATATAAATTTTAATAAATCGTTTATCTTAGTATAACTTTACTTATTTATACTAATATTACTAGAATAATTATCTCTTTAAAACTAACTTATATCAATTTTATAATATTATATATTTATATATTTCAAATTAATAAATATATTATATATAACTAGTAAATAATTAAATATTATATATATTTATCTAAAATAAGTAAATTAAACATATATTAATTTGAATATAATATATATGCTTGGAATATTTATATCTGTATTATAATATTATTATAAGATAAATAATTAAAATAATATAAATGATTATATATTAATTAAAATACACTATAATGCTCATTGACTTTCCAGGTAGACTCTGTTTTGACACAGAATTCCTGAGTCTGTCATTACTGTCATATGACCGCTTTCATCGTGTCTCTGAATCACAGCTACCTGTCTTATGTATTCTTTCCCCAGTCTGTTAGGTAGTGATGTCACGATCATCGATTATACTCGTCAATCAGTTGAACAGTGGCTCGAACCAAGCGGCTTGTATCCAAATCCATAATCGATTTCATCGGAAAAAAAAGAAAAGAAAAAAGTGTAAAAGCTTGAACAAGAAAACTTGGAAAGTGATGAGAATCAGAGATATTATTGCTTACTATACAAGTTATCCTTAATTAACATACATGTATCATACACACAGTAGTAAACAGTGCAAAACAAACAGTAACAACGGGCTAAACAAGCACATGTATACCATGCACACACATACATGCACACGACGTTACGCACACGCAGGCATTCAACACCCGGCGAGTAAGACCGATTGTAACACGATCATCGGTTACTTGGATCCAACCGATGATCGATTATGAATTAACAACTGATTGACAACACTATTGTTACTGTGTTAGGTTTTCATGCAACTGAAATCTCCTTCGCTGACATAAAGATCAGAGCTCTGTAGGCAGGTATACCCATCCGTTGAAAGGGTGTATGAAACCACGTAACACCAATATATTAATTATGCTGAGAGGGCTATGTCCGCCCAGGGTACTGCCGGAACGTACTGGCACGGTCCGGTATACCGGAACGTACCTGGTACTATCTTATATGCCGGACCGTACGCCTCGCCTACCTCCACTAACAGAGTCTAGGGAGTCGTCTACGCCCTACTCCCTAACGCCTAACCCTAACCTTAACCCTAACGCTAACCATATCAAATAGTTACCGAGGGTACGTTCTGGTATACCGGACCGTACCAAGGTACGTTCCGCGCAGTACCCCGGGGCACATAGACCCTAATGAGCATTAATTATTGCCAATAGTGTCTGGGTCAGAATACTAATATACTAATACATGTATCTAGCACTGCGTCATGGTGGTTCTTTCTCTGTCTTTATAGCTCTCCTTATAGGGCAGTGTATAAGTAAGAAACGACATGTCTATTTGTCACTTGTTATTTAACAATGACCACGGTTATCTGCAAAGATAGAAATAACATTCCTCAGATACATGTACATAATTTAACATAAATATATCATCTATGTTAGAAATAGCACCCGTCCACCAGTCTGGGCCTGCACTGGTAACTTTGGAGCAGGTTTGGCTAATTTTCATGGATTTTACTACATGTTATATATATATATATAATATATATATTATATATATATATATATATATCTATATTATTATAATAGTAGAATCCACATTTTCAAAATTAGGACTGGCTTGTCGCAGGATATGTCCATTATGTTCTGAAATCATTTTTCAATAAATACGACGTATCGATGACATGCTAACTGCTTAAGGTGTATTATTGTGGTGGGAGGAGAAGATTGGTAAGGGGGGAAGGTAGAGGAGGGAAATAGAAAGAAAGCTGGTTGAGTGAGCTAGTGAAAGAGTAGTGGATAAAGGAAGAATCTAGGGAGAATGTTTAAGGCATGAAGTGAGGGAGAAAGCAGAATGAGAAAGCAAGTACAGGAGTGAGAAGTAGCGGAAAGTAAAGGAAGGTAAAAAGTGCAGGTGATTAAAACATGTAGAGAGTTGTAGTAGGAGAAAGAGCTAAGTAATAAATAAATAGATGGAGTAGCCAAGATGGAGGGGCAGGTTGAGGAGGGGAGAAGGAAAGGAGATGAGAGGATGAGAAATGTAGTTGGGAAAGGGGGTAAAGGAAGGATTAGAAGAAAATGTGTGGAGGAGGCAGAGGTGAAATTATGGTCATAGAATGTAGGCCACAATATTATGTGTACTAGAAAATAGCCAGTGTTATATATATATATCTGGAGTATATATATATGACAATATATAGGCAAAATAATAGTCATTATTACTCCTGATATATATATATATATAATATATATATATAATATATATATATATCTTGGTGGCTTTCATATTCAATTAAAGCTCAATTACTCACATTTCTTACTGCATAAAGTCACAGTCCGATGCATGCATGCAGTGTTCATGGTGTAATTAGGTCGGTCGAAAATGATTTGCCAGTGTTGTCAGTAGGTATAGAGTTCACACTGAGAGACGGGATAGGGTGAGTCATACTCGTCTGAGTACAGCCACTGTGTAAATGTATGTGTTTGTGTTTCTGTGTTGAGCAGAATTGTCTGGAATGGCAGGTGGTTGCTGTATGGGCCATGTTTTCTTGAAAATGGAATCTTTGATGTATCTAAACACTAAGTATGTACATGTATGTTGTAGTATTGTTTAAATACCAAACGATGCCAGTAGCTACAGGTAAGAGACAATTATGTGTACTACTCCTTCTATTGTAATATCCAGGTATATTACCATAAGCAATAATAAGATTGACTCTCCTTGTGGTAATATCTGTAATATTTGTAATATTTTAAACAACTTTCTGCTTCTCATCTGCGTTTAGCTGTATATGCCTTAGTTTCAGAAGTGAAAAGAGTTACTATGCAGTTGGCTGAAAAGCTGGAAGCCATGCCTACATTTATGTCATGTGAAATGATACATGCGCGATTAGGATTCAATTCCTTAGTTAGCAATAAGTTGCTGCATATCATCATAGCAGTAGCCTAAGAATTACCACAAGTACATTGTCTGTCACCAAATTAATCTGTAAAGTTTGGGGGAAAAAATTGGCTATTTTCAGCCCAGATATTATATAGCCTTAATTGTTTCACTACATAGAAGTAAATATAGTCTTTCTTGTTACATGTATACAGGTCTCAGGCAGTGTGGGTGAAATGACATTTACTCAGTTAATCTAGCTTATATGATTAAGTAATTATCATTCGTGCCATCCCAAGATCAGTGCAAATTAAGTATAACAGTATAATATAGAGAGGGGGTCGAGGGGGTCCGGACCCCCCCTTTTTACCACAAAAAAAAGAAAAAAAGCACACACACGCACGCACGCACGCACGCACGCACACACACACACACACACACTTCTCTTATATTGTCTCCATAAAAAAATATTGTTTAGCGCTAGATTTTCTGATAAAGATTTACTTATATATATGTAAATTCGTTATAAAAACCTAGAAATGGGCAAAGAGGGGTCCGCAGGCGTCCGGGGGACCGGATCTGATAAATTTTTGCATTCTAGACATCAAAATTACTGCTCAGATGCTCTCAGAATGCACCAATTCTTTAAAAAAATCTTGGTGGAGGTCCCCCAAACCCCCCCAAATGGCCTTCGGCAGCTTTTTAAAACACCAGAAAAAATGAGTAGGAAAAAGTGCCCTTTATTTCTTTCTTCCTGGACACCCCCTTTTCAAAAATCCTGGATCCGCCCCTGTATAAACACATGCTTGAAATTCAACTTTGGGTTTCGAATTGAAAAAATAGAAAAATGTGGTTTAAATGGAGTTTGATTGAATTAAATTTCAAGACGTAATTGAATAATTTTACAGCACCCATCTACAGTTCCTATTGCATAACTAGTTGGCTTTGGCAAAATAACACAGAAGAACCGTTTTATAATGTATCATTTATTAAATATATACATCATTTCCGAATCCCCTGGCAGGAAGTAAATAGTAATCATTATTCAATGAGCGAGCACATGGAAAATGGTTTGACATATTGATGGAAAACAGTTGAGAATAGGCACCATGTTTGTTTTCTCAATATCTATTTTCATTTTTGTTATTGAAACATTTCTCTAAAGTGTTGGGCTCAGCCGGTTTCAGAGTTCATGTTTGTTGGAGCTTCCTGCTGCTCTCTGACTAATGTATGTTTGGGCAACATATGGCAAGCGCATACTAAACTGTGCCAAGTGCTATTTGACATGCTCCCCGTGCCTAAAGCCGCAAGCACTAGCTGTATAGTTACAGTGGCAGTTATTAGTTGCAACTTACTGTGACCAGTAATGATATACCAACACTCAAATACCGGACATTCACACGTACATGACAACCCAGGCTATGCTAGTAGTTGATAGAGAGCACTCCCAGTCTGTGTTATCACCCTGCTAAAAGCTGTTTAACGTGGCAGTCCCGTGTAAGTGTACGTGTACTATAACGAAAATATTCTAGTGTATTGGTGTATAGTGCTTTTTGCAAGGAAACATTCTGTTCAGTAAGCAATATTCAGGATGGTGATGCTAGAGAACATATCGACATGTATGTATATCTTGTGTGGTTTGTGCTCGTGCGGTAGGAATACAATATTTCACATTTATAACATGTATAATCGAGAGGTTTATGAGTCAGTAGTTGGCAGGAATGTGAATTCTGAGCTCATTAATCATTAGTTACAGCTTGTGGGTGATATAATCTACTGTATGGAATTTAAAATTGTGTGAAACACAGGAGCGGGTGTTAGGATATAAGGGGCGAGAGAGAGAGAGAGAGAGAGAGAGAGAGAGAGAGAGAGATGAAGGGGGTATAAAATGAAAAAAATGAACGTACGTGTACTTCCGAATCCTCATTTTCATCGTGTTTATGTTGTTTCAACAATTAGTTTACTAATTGCTTATTTATAACTGCATTTCAGCATTTTTAGCTATATTGAAAGGGTTTGGCTCCTTTCTCTTACTCCTGGCTGGACTCACAGCCTTTGCTACTGTTGTCCAGAATCTCAAATCCAGGAGCAACAGAAGGAAAAAGTTGCATTCAGTGAAGAGTGTTGGTATGTTATTATTTTATATTGTTCCCATCTAACTATGAAACTAGCTATTTCATGTTGTATTTTAAGAGCACACTGGGTAGTTATAAAATTAGCTTAGCAGTGTTTGCTTTGCCACAATATGTGACAATACTTTTGGCCAATTCTGGGTGGATCTTGGTGCAATGTATTGATGATAGTTCCCAGACAAGCGTCTAAAGTAATGGTGCATAGAAATAATGCGGTGTGTTGCATGTTTAGATACAGGACCTAGAAAATGGACATAGACTTAAGTAATAATGCCGTCGGCAGCCTTATAATAAACTGTCAATTAATTCAGCAAAATTTGGCTAAAATAAAAAGAGATTATACCTTGTTAAAACTAATATATAGTATGAATGATTAGTTCCAGATACTTATAAAATACTTCCTTAAAATTTCATCTGTTATTCATGATATTTATGTACAGAAGATGAAGAAGAGAGACTAAAACGCCACGAGGATGGGAAACGGGAAGCAAGAGAGAAAGCAGATGTGGAACATATGAGAAAAGTTAGTTGGCATAGGGCACTAGTTTTATGTGAAAACACGAGAGCCAGTAGAGATGCACTTTGTGAAGCTAATTTAGTTGCATTAGGCCAAAAAGATTTAGACTGCTGCTCTGTAAAATTGGGTCAACATGAATACTAGCTGATACATTAGCTGATATTACATGGGAAAATGCATGCATTTTATATTGTGAGTAAACATTTTTGACATTAAAATCAATAGGAAATTAATGATAAAATATAAAGTGGCGTTGAGTATTGCGGCTGAACTGGCTGTATCTAGTCGGCTGTATCCCCCCTCCTGTACAATATTGGTGCAGGGAGGATTAATCAGTTTTGGGTGAGTTTGGTTATCAGCAGGTATCAGAGCAATGCCTTGCAGTAGAAAATGCTATTGAAGCCGAGGCAAACGCATCGGATAGAGTACTATATAGCACTCTGGTAACTAAAGGATTCCATGACCAGATGTGACCATGGAAAGGTCTTGTGAAAAAAAGGGTGTTGAGAACTTTAGCTTTTAGTAACCACATTATTTCATGCATCCCATCATGCCATACAGCGTTGAAGGTTGATTACACCGTTTTGATTCAAAAACATCGTTTCAGAAGGTGATCAGTGTCATAATTTCCATATCTCTACATATTGCTTTGCTTTCTGATGAAATTCCCCCATGACTGTACACGTGGACTTCATAACCTTCAATAATGACTTTTTTGGATTAAATTGAGCCAGTTTAAGGTTTTTGCACATGGGATTTGTCGTTTAATTCAGTTTTTAAAAGTCGCTCTGCAATTTTTGTGAACGATGAGTCAGAGCAGTTACCAGCTCATCTGCTGGCACCCTCTGCTAGTTTAACCCCATGAATCATAGTGTCTGGTCACACAAGACTTGCTGTATGGGTTTCAACATGCATTTGATCACGATGAAGCTGACACAACTAATCCTTTGCTTGTAGCTTTACAATCACTATATAGATATGCATATGTTCTTGAGTCCAGTCCAATTCCTTTCCGATGTGGTTTTATATCCCCGCGGAGTGTTTATTGATATGGTTATAAGAGACTATTCACTTGTAACCGTTCGAGGAGCAGTTATGGGTTGAGTCAATGACAATATAATTAGTAGGTGGCTCACGCTTAGTATCATCGCGTTGAACCAGTATTTCCCGTTTAATAGCCACCGTTGTATAGTGCTGTAGATACACAAAGCAAATGAAGGGTTAAGTCTATACTAGTACACAGTAGTGTACATGTGTGTATATCTCTATACGAACATAGTTAAAAAAAGATTAAGTTACATAGACGGGGAAAGGAAGCAAGATTGAGAGAGTGAGTGAGTGAGTGAGTGAGTGAGTGAGTGAGTGAGTGAGTGAGTGAGTGAGTGAGTGAGTGAGTGAGTGAGTGAGTGAGTGAGTGAGAGTGTGAGAGAGAGAAAGAGGGTAGAGAAGATGGCGTGGGGGGCGTGAGGGACTCCTAGGAAATGAGGGAGAGAAAGGAAGAAGTGGTGGGTAATAGAAAGAAATAGCATGGTGTGGGAATGTGCTGTGCTGCATGTTAACACTTTACTGCATGTATGTTTGCTGCTTGTATGTATGTAGCTGATCAAGAGTTAATTGTTGGTTACTATATGCTAACATTGCAGGCCAATGACTATGTGGATAGAAAACTGAAGCCTAGACAGGAGGAGCTGCGTCAAAGGAAACTAGCCGAAGCTGACCGCTTCTCAGACCCAGCATGGAAAGACCCTGGGCACAAACTAGGGGTATGTTAATAACAACTGAGCTGCAACAAAGTTTGTGTATGTACTTGCAGTACATGCTGTAGCTAGTTTGGAAAGGCATAACATGTGTACATCATAGAACTAAAGTTAGCTGAGGCAAAATAGCAACTTGGAATTAGGTGTGTATACATAGCAAGTATTCAGTACAATTATTCATGCATCGTTTGTTATTGATGCTACACAATGGAGGTAGTAATTTCACTCATGAGTGCATGAATTAACAAGGCTGTGGGGTTACTGACACTGGTGGGGTTGACTGGATACTGAACAAACGTATTTCAGTTCCCTTCTGACTGTAGCCACTACCAAAATCTACATGCACATGACAAGATGTTATTTTCCTAGTTATGTGGTCGTGTGTCACTAATTATCGCTAAATGCATATTAATATGATTGATTTATAACTGGAGCAGGGACAGCAACTTTTATGTGTGCATTTGTTAATGTGAATGGTATGCTGTAAACGTAAACATAATATCTGTAACTATGATATGCACACATTATCTAATCTAACCGTGTTGCTGTTTAATCGACTACTATTCCTTATACTTATTGGTGTATTTTTTTATTTTTTTGAACGCGTCACTGGACAGACTACCAAAGAGGACACAAATTCGGGCACCAGCCCTACTGAGCCAACCATTAAGGATGAGTCTGAGCTGGTGGCAGAAGGAGCCAGACGTGTACAGGATGCCCTCAGAGCTTTCAGCGATGTGGATGACCTCGGCCTGGACGACGAAGCTCTGACCTTCGCACCGGCGAAGCTCGTGACGCCCGCCATTCCTTCGTCCGACGAAGAATTTGAGATGCTCGAGGCGGCATGCCTCGACGAGTCGTCGCAGCGCCCCGAGCAAGCCGACCATCGTGTCGCGGCCGACCGCGCGCCGAGTCCGAGCGGCGCGGACGCACACTCGGCTGCCGACGCGCACGACGGCGAGAATACTCCACTAACGAGTCTAGGGAGTCGTCTACGCCTACTCCCTAACCCTAACCCTAACCTTAACCCTAACGCTAACCATATCAAATAGTTACCAGGGTACGTTCTGGTATACCGGACCGTACCCAAGGTACGTTCCGGCAGTACCCCGGGGGACATAGACCCTATGAGCATTAATTATTGCAATAGTGTCTGGGTCAGAATACTATATACTATACATGTATACTAGCATGCGTCATGGGTGTTCTTTCTCTGTCTTTATAGCTCTCCTTATAGGGCAGTGTTATAAGTAAGAACGATGTCTATTTGTCACTTGTTTATTTAACAATGACCACGGTTATCTGCAAAGATAGAAATAACATTCCTTCAGATACATGTACATAATTTAACATAAATAATATCATCTATGTTAGAAATAGCAGCCCGTCCACCAGTCTGGGCCTGCATGGTAACTTTGGAGCAGGTTTGGCTAATTTTCATGGATTTTACTACATGTTATATATATATATATATATATATTATATATATATATATATAATAGTAGAAATCCACATTTTCAAAATTAGGACTGGCTTGTCGCAGGATATGTCCATTATGTTCTGAAATCATTTTTCAATAAATACACGTATCGATGACATGCTAACTTGCTTAAGGTGTATTATTGTGGTGGGAGGAGAAGATTGGTAAGGGGGGAAGGTAGAGGAGGGAAATAGAAAGAAACTGGTTGAGTGAGCTAGTGAAAAGAGGTAGTGGATAAAGGAAGAATCTAGGGAGAATGTTTAAGAGCATGAAGTGAGGGAGAAAGCAGAATGAGAAAGCAAGTACAGGAGGTGAAGTAGCGGAAAGTAAAGGAAGGTAAAAAGTGCAGGTGATAAAACATGTAGAGAAGTTGTAGTAGGAGAAAGAGCTAAGTATAAATAAATAGATGGAGTAGGCAGATGGAGGGGCAGGTTGAGGAGGGGAGAAGGAAAAGGAGATGAGAGGATGAGAATGTAGTTGGGAAAGGGGGTAAAGGAGGATATAGAAGATAATGTGTGGAGGAGGCAGAGGTGACTAAAAATATGGTCATAGAATGTAGGCCACATATTATGTGTAGAAAATAGCCAGTGTTATATATATATATCTGGAGTATATATATATGACAATATATATGGCAAATAATAATGTCATTATTAACTCCTGATA